CAGTTTCTTTTATGCCCTGCTCCCATGCAGGGGAGGGACACACACGTTATCTACAGTATCCAATAAAACAGAGGTTACAGCCCACACAAAATCCTCCCGTCTGCCTGTGATTCAATTATCTTATACAATAGAAGATTCAATTATCACAGGTAGGAAAAATACAGTTTTTACAGCATATTCATAACTTCTAAAATATACATCACATTCACATAAAAATTATATATTCACAATCAATCCATTAAGGGAAACAACATATCAGCATGAATCAGACCAGGGGTTCAGAAGTTAGTAAAGTATATTTTGGGGCCTGGCTGGCAGCATGGCTATCTGGCCCAAACTGGTTTTACAGAGCCCTCTATCCTGGAGACAATGGGGAAAATAACCCAAATATCCAGGGATAGAGGCAGACTCCATTGAGCACATGTTCCTAGTAAAACACAAAAGGATACAAAAATACATAACTCCTATCATAGTGAATTGAACGGGCCAAATCTCCCAGGGTCCATAGTCACAGGGCAAGAGGCGGGCAAGCAGTCCTCTCCAGGCACAAGTGGTGAAGGGCACTTCGTCACAGTAATAAATCCATGAATAAAGTAGCAGGGAGGGAAAGTATCGAATGAATGGAGGGGGATTCTTCACAGTAACTAAAATTATAGATCAGGGTGGTGCAGTAGACATTTCTTACCTAGATTTAAGTAAGGCTTTTGACACTGTTGCACATCGAAGGCTTACCAATAACTGCAATCTTTACGTTTGGATTCCAATATTGTTGAATGGGTAAGGCAGTGGCTGAGTGACAGGCAACAGAGGGTTGTAGTCAATGGAGTATATTCAAAGCATGGGCTTGTCACTGGTGGGGTACCTCAGGGATCTGTACTTGGACCCATTCTCTTTAAATTTTTTATTAGTGATATTGCAGAAGGTCTCGATGGTAAGGCATGTCTTTTCGCTGATGATACTAAGATATGTAACAGGGTTGATGTTCCAGGAGGGATAAGCCAAATTACAAATGATTTAGGTAAACTAGAAAAATGGTCAGAGTTGTGGTTCAAGGTTAAAGGAACTTAACATGCAGAGCTTAGAGGAAAGACAAGACAGGGGGGATATGATGGAAACATTTAAATACATAAAGGGAATCAACACAGTAAAGGAGGAGACTATATTTTAAAGAAGAAAAACTACCACAACAAGAGCACATAGTCTTAAATTAGGTTTAAAAATAATATCAGGAAGTATTACTTTACTGGGAGGGTAGTGGATGCATGGAATGGCCTTCCAGCTGAAGTGGTAGAGGTTAACACAGTAAAGGAGTTTAAGCATCCATGGGATATGCATAAGGCAATGCTAACTATATGATAAGGCCAGGGACTAATGAAAGTTTTTTAAAAATTGGGCAGACTAGATGGTTCAAATCGTTCTCATCTGCCGTCACATTCTATGTTTCTATGAAACGCGTTTTGGCTGATTTGGACTTTTTATACTACATTTCAGATTTTATTTTATAGCTTAAAACCTTGAATATCGTGTTTTACTTTGGAACCTTGACAGACCCATCTGTTTGTAAATTGCTTTTATTTCCCCTTCATTCGTCTGTTTGTTCGGCTATTTCCCTGTCCGTACAGTCCCTACATTATTCTCCTGTTTTACCGAAGGAACTGCCGAACACCCAGCATGGAAGTGCGCTGCTTGTTAACCTCTTGGCCCCATTAGAACGTTGTGATTAACCGCAGACACTTCCTAATTGTCGAAGGTTGGCTCGGTGGTCATCGTTCGTATAAATGAACATGTGGCGGCGGCCATCTTGGACACACGAATTCCCAGTGGTGTTCGTCTACTATTTAATGGAACTGAAAACGGATACTATTCCTCATGAACACCGCTGAAGCCACCGACCTTCCTTCCTCTGTTCCTTCATCATACGAACGCTGTACCGTTCGGTACTTTTCCTCACGAATGGAGTCACCCCAGATAGCTGTCCCATTGAGCCCATTAGTACAACAAAAACTATGTGAAATACTTTGGCTCCATGGCGATTGAACTGTATGTATGTGATCTGAGTGCTATTCGGTAATAATATGCACTCAGATCTAAGCTATCTGGGGATATGTTCCATGTGGGGGTTACATTCGGTAAATTGTAACAGATTTCTTATGTATTTTTGTCCATGTTAATAAAATTTAGTTTTACTCTATTCTCTGAGATAATTGAGTTACTTCCCAATTATCTCCAGGATAGAGAGGCAGGTCTTATACAGTTAAAGGGGAGTGTTTCTGTCTATAACGCTGTGATTGGCTTCTGTACTACTCTTGTCACAGTTTTCCACCATGTCCCCTAGGGGGGTGTCCACTTAATGGGAGACCTGCATAAATACTGGGTGGGTAGCCCACATTCAACTAGATTTTTGCTTGACCCTCAATACAGAGCCTCGTCTCGTACTTGAGGGGGATTATTCGTATACTTTTCCTGTTCGTATGACTGCTTGTTAGGCTGATTGGAGGTTCGGTAGATGCCTTTGTGTTCAGGAAGGGAATACCCTAAACGGCTTTAACCCCTTCTATACTCGGTGTGCCGTTACAGGAACCAATATATTTATTTTTTATTTCATTCAAGTTCTTGGAGCCTCCAGGAATTTTTGGGGGGCGTGACATCCCAAGAAATTGGCACACTGCTGAACATTCTCAGAGCAAGGAACTTATGGCTCTCAATATGGTGAGCACAATACTTATCATAAGTATATATACTGTAATATTGCACAGAACTACCCATCTAGTCTATTTCTCTTCTTTTTGTGTCTTCTGGAGGAACATCATTGAGGAAGTGGTGTGTTGCTGCCCAAAGAGCAAAAATGTTTAGTTTACAGAGCCAATACCATATAGGCTCCAGATCATGTGAGTGGGTCTAGTTATTTACTTTTATCATCCATTACCGCTAAAGACCATCTACACCATATATTTCTTTGTTTTATTTTTCCTTTTATATGTGTTTTGAAGTGTATATTCCAAAGTGTGGTATCACACTAAATTGATGGGGTAAGTGGACACCTCTATCACTTTATATTTATATAGCGCTCCACTAGTTGGTGTATATTTTATACCATATCTCCATGGCGATTGAACTGTATGTATGTGATCTGAGTGCTATTCGGTAATAATATGCACTCAGATCTAAGCTATCTGGGGATATGTTCCATATGGGGGTTACATTCGGTATTGTAAATTGATTGTGGAAATATGGGTATTCCACTTTATGTGTCGAGCTGCTTCTCGTTTAGGCACTATAGAGTATCATTCACTATCTCTGGAAAGAGGTTTTTATTGTTTTTGTTAACGTTGCAGGGAAAAGTTTGACTTTTTCTACATTTATCTTCTTGCAATCTTCTAGCAGCAAAACCTTTTTAGATATTCAGCCAGTAATAATTCAGACTTAAATCTTGCCCATGCTTTCTCCACCATTAAATGTAGGAAATTAGCTGATCCTGAGATGTTTGTCACATCAGAGTTCCAATAATTGAATCCGATTGCCTTGCAGTCTTAAAATTTATTTTATTCAAACGTACACGACATCCGAAAATAACAGTCTTTGCACATATCTGTACCGATACAGCAATATGTATGCACTTCAAGTTAATATCCATTTTTGATGTTACGTATTGGTGGTGAATATCTATCTGCAAAAATATGTTCTAAGTCTAAGAAATCAGTTCACTAGGAGGTGTACACATAAGGATACGGTTATTTAATTCTTTAAAAAATATGTGTAAAAAGGGTTGAAGCTTAATAACCATTCTGTCCAATCTACGATTAAAGCCATACATTATAAAAGTGGTTAACTTGTTTTCTTTGGTTTTTACTGTATGTATTAGGGCTGATGTGTACTATGGCCACCCAAGAGTAATGGGAGTTTGAGCGCAGGACTTGTGTATTTGTAAAAAATGGTTATACTTGGGGGTAAAATATAAATTACACATATCATTTACACATATATATGTTTAAATGAATACATTCAGAAAGAGACCCTTCTTAATACACATGGGAGTCTGGCTGGGTCAAAGGTTATAACAGCAGCGGGCCTTCATCAATCTATGAGAACAAAAACCATAGGTGTTGACCATTGATATACAATGGTCATATGTCCGATAATTAATATTAGATGTCTAGGTCTAGGTAGGGCCTACCAGATCCTGTGTATGAAAGAAGTCTGAAATGATATTATTTGCATCCAATACAAGAATAAATCATATTACTAAGATAAAAATCCTACGACATCAGATATTTTAAAGCTCATTAAATGTTTTTCAGAAGGCTGAAATTTGACTCCAAATTATGCATGTTTGACTGCCACATTTGCCAAAATTGGTATATTTATTGGTTATACTCTCAGCTGCATTGTATGCCCTAAGGGGAAAAAAAACTAGAAAATTAGAAATAAACATAACTGTTGCTTGAAGTCTGTATTAACATGGGGATTGGGGAAACCTATCCCAGTTCATATTTTTATTGGTATAAATAATTTGTAAATACATTTCATATGTGTGCTGTAGTTTTTTAATAAAAGCTGGAGCTCAGAAATAGTGTTCCTACAAGTTGCCTTCAAGAATCATGTGTCTTGTCTGTTTGCTGAGGTCTTGGTTGGAATCATACAAATGTCATGCTAAACAACCATTTTCATTGAAATGTATTACCAGTGGAACAGGCTATTTAGTATACTCTGTAACAGCCAGGACATACAACCACAATGTATCCTGGGTTACTGGTGAGTTTGCAACCAAGTGAAGCAGAGTTGGCAATGCAGGTTAGGCACATACCGACAATGACATGGGGGTGCCACAATATCAATGCATCATATGTACATTGACTGTTACTATCAAAGTTACTATTTATTGTGTGAGCATGATAAAACATCACAATACAAGATATTTTATTCCAATGTTAATCCATAGATGCATTATAAAATCACCTCACCTGTGTGAGTTATTTGATGACTGATAAGCTCTGAATTACTAGCAAAACATTTCCCACATATACTACATAAGAAAGGCTTCTCTCCTGTGTGAGTTCTCTGACAACGAACAAGCTGCGCCTTGGTGACAAAACATTTTCCACATTCAGAACATGAGAACGGTTTCTCTCCTGTGTGAGTTTTATGATGACCGACAAGAGTTGAATATTGCCCAAAACATTTTCCACATTCAGAACATGAGAACGGTTTCTCTCCTGTGTGAGTCCTCTGATGTCTAACAAGTGTTAAATGTTGCCCAAAACATTTTCCACATTCAGAACACGAGAACGGTTTCTCTCCTGTGTGAGTTCTCTGATGACTGACAAGAGTTGAATGTTGCCCAAAACATTTTCCACATTCAGAACATGAGAACGGTTTCTCTCCCGTGTGAGTTCTCTGATGACTGACAAGATCTGTATTAGTAACAAAACATTTTTCACATTCAGAACATGAGAACGGTTTCTCTCCCGTGTGAGTTCTCTGATGACGGACAAGCTCTGCATTAGTGATAAAACATTTTTCACATTCAGAACATGAGAACGGTTTCTCTCCTGTGTGAGTTCTCTGATGACGCACAAGCTCTGCCTTAGTGTTCAAATATTTTCCACATTCAGAACACGAGAACTGTTTCTCTCCTTTGTGAGTTCTCTGATGACGAACAAGATGCATTTTGGTGACAAAACATTTTCCACATTCAGAACATGAGAACGGTTTCTCTCCTGTGTGTGTATTCTGATGAATGACAAGAGTTGAATGTTCCCCAAAACATTTTCCACATTCAGAACATGAGAACAGTTTCTCTCCTGTGTGGGTTCTCTGATGACGAACAAGATGCGTTTTGGTGACAAAACATTTTCCACATTCAGAACATGAGAACGGTTTCTCTCCTGTGTGGGTTCTCTGATGATGAACAAGATGTATTTTGGTGACAAAACATTTTCCACATTCAGAACATGAGAATGGTTTCTCTTCTGTGTGGGTTCTCTGATGAATAACAAGTTTTGATTTATGATAAAACATTTTCCACATTCAGAACATGAGAATGGTTTCTCTCCTGTGTGTGTATTCTGATGAATGACAAGAGTTGAATGTTGCCCAAAACATTTTCTACATTCAGAACATGAGAACGGTTTCTCTCCTGTGTGGGTTCTCTGATGACGAACAAGATGCGATTTGGTGACATAACATTTTTCACATTCAGAACATGAGAACAGTTTCTCTTCTGTGTGGGTTCTCTGATGAAGAACAAATTTTGATTTAGTGATAAAACATTTTCCACATTCAGAACACGAGAACGGTTTCTCTCCTGTGTGTGTATTCTGATGAATGACAAGCGTTGAATGTCGCCCAAAACATTTTCCACATTCAGAACATGAGAACGGTTTCTCTCCCGTGTGAGTCCTCTGATGTCTAACAAGTGTTAAATGTTGCCCAAAACAATTTCCACATAAGGAACATGAGAATGGTTTCGCTCCAGTGTGAGTTCTCTCATGACTGACAAGACTTGAATGTTGCCCAAAACATTTTCCACATTCAGAACATGAGAACGGTTTCTCTCCTGTGTGAGTTCTCTGATGACTGACAAGAGTTGAATGTCGCCCAAAACATTTTCCACATTCAGAACATGAGAACGGTTTCTCTCCTGTGTGGGTTCTCTGATGACGAACCAGATTCGCTTTGGTGACAAAACATTTTTCACATTTAGAACACGGGAAAGGTTTGGAATTTATGTTTACGATCTCCTTTGAGAACATATAGGAATCTGAGAAAATGCTTGATTTTTCAGAGTTAGACTCCTTGGTTATGTTATTAAAATATTTCTTCATAGCTTTGCTTCATGTATTTATGTTCTTGTCACCTCTCCAGACAAATACACCTGAAGGAAAGATACTTGGTGTTAAAGGAAATTGATCACAATAAATTGTTTGCTATACTTAGAAAAATAGACAATATTTGCATAATATATAAGATAGACGACCATCAGGTGTCATGGTGATTGTGAAGAAATCAAGTATTTGTGTGCATTAACCCCTTTACTAGCAGAATTGTGTATACTCTTTTTTTTTTTTTTACTTTAATTTGCTTTGCAAAATTAGATTTAGCCCATAAAGCCTCACGTATATGCATTTATGCTAGAGGAACAAATTATAGATACTGTGTATATCACATACATTCTAATCACATATTCTAAACACATGCAGCACATAATTTCACTGTTATCCCCCTACCTCTGCCACTGGAAAGTTGTGCCAAGTATGTACTACTATTTTTATATCACTCCAAGCCTCTACCACTTATACTAGAAGGTTGTGCTATTGAAACTGTAGTAGATACCTGGTTTGACCAGTCGGTGGAAATGTAGTGGGAGTTAAAGAAAATGTGTCTATAAATTATCTATCTTAGAAAAACTGACAATATTTTTATGAAAGACAAGAAATATGACTATGAAATATCATGTTGATTGCGCCAGACCTTAAAAAAAAAAAAAATATATATATATATATATTTTAACGGCTACCCAGGGTAGTGAGGGGTATCTGCCATTGGCAACGTCCTTCCTCCGGGTAAGATGCTGGGCTGTAGGGGAGAGGTGAAGTCCCATCCGCTGGATCCCTGGAGCAGTAGCGAGGCAGAGCTCTGAAAAGTGCTAGTGATTAAGCTGCAAATTCCCTTTCATTAACGAGACAGAGCTAGGTTTTGAAGGGTGAAGAAGAAATGACTCCACTGAGTGTTTATTGCTGTTATTATGCAGGATTTTACAGGTTAGACACCACCCACTGGACCTTGTGGGGCACCGACAATACAGTTACAGCAACCAATCATACACAAGATGACAATAGAGCACACGCAGCAGTTACAGTAAATTCCTCCCCTCTGCTTAGGAAATAATTGAGTTAATTAAATGTATCTACTCAATTATCTCCAAGCTAAAAAGTGAAATTTTTATATAAAAACGATTACTGAAGGCAAAACAACAGTCTGAGTTCACATATATATATATATATATATATATATATATATAAAAGCAGCCATTATACTGGTTAACTGGGGTGTTTTTGTTACACGGTTTATATATATATATATATATATATATATATATATATATATATATATATATATATATATATTTATTTTTTATTTTTTTTTTATTAAAAAAAAGGAAAAGGACAAACTCTGGCACTCTTCCTTTAAATCAAATAAAAAAATTATGAAATTACCCGGGTGCTTCCAAGCCAGTCAATATATCAGATCAATCAGGAGCACTCCATTGGATTTTCAAAATAGTGTTTTTAATCCGGTGTTAATAAATCATAGCATCAACGTTTCGACCCAATAGGGTCTTTATCAAGATAGTAACAACCTCCAAATAGTGCAAATATATACAGAAATAAAAGTAGATCTAACTTACCCCACCTGTGGAGTGATCTCCGCGCTCACCAAGTGCTGCTCAGTAGTGCGCATGCGTAGTGACGTCACTGTATCCGTGCGTCATGACGTGTATGAGTGCGTGCGTAAAGACGTAATCATAGACCCCATAGACACGGAACGTATCCATGGAAACCCCAGCTGACATAAAAACAAAACAAACGGAGGACCAAGCAACTAAAGACCGGACCACATCATTGGAGATGTCAGTAACCAAGAGCCCAAATACGGTAAAAATACTAATCAACTAGGTGCTGGCGTGAAAAAGGTGTAAAAGTAAAAGAGGTTAAGAGCAGAAATATAATGTGAGAAGAAGAAAGTGTAAGTAAATATAACAGTGTATGTGAATACAATAATAAAAAAATAGAGAGAGGATATACTGTGCAACCAAGTTAATAATATATACATATCCAACATATATCTAAATATATCTCATGTAGAGGGTGGGCAGAACCCAGGTATATCAGAGCACTGAAATCATAAAATAAAAAACAAAAAATTCCAATGAATAAAATAAAATACATAAACCAAATATTATAAGGCCGCAACACCTGGGAAAAAGGAATCAGAAACCTAAACTGAAAAAAAGACTAACGTCTCTCCAAAAATGAATTAATTCCCTTGGGTTGTAACGTATCCAATTGTTTAATCCAAAAAGTTTCCCTCTGGAGTAATAATTTTGACCGATCTCCCCCTCTTATTGGGGTGGGTATAACATCAATAGCAATGAACTTAAGCATATGCCAATATATTCATGGCTTGGTTCGAACGAAATCTTGAACATACCTTTTAAGTACAAACCTTTGGGACGGCGATGGGAGCGACTATGGCACCTTCATATGCCAATATATGGCACAAATATTCTTATATATTTCAGATTTGTGGACGATATCCTGTTAATTTGGAAAGATACTAAAGAAGAGCTCTGTGACATGGTAACTGATATTAATAATTTACAGACACGTATAAAACTCACTCTTACATTTGATACTATCACCATACAATATCTGGATGTATCATTATTTAGAACTGAGGAGGGCACTGGTTATACTCTCTACCGTAAGGAGACGGACCGCAATACATTACTCCTAGCCACGAGTTTTCATCCAAAACACTTGATAGAATCGCTTCCCATCTCTCAGTTTATCCGAGTACTACGGTACAATAATGATCCCACCAAAATGGACATACAGTTACAACAGATGCGCCAAAGATTTTTAGATAGAGGGTATTCACCTCAAACACCAACTTTAGCTGAACTTAAGGCAAAGGAACGGATTCAGAAAATTTCGGAGAAAACTTTTGATACGTATGAAGATCATTTGTTTCTCCCACTCACTTTTCACACAAACACATCATTAATCAAGGATAAAATATGTAAACATTGGGACATATTAAAAGCAGACAAACATTTGTCACCAATTTTTCCAATTATTAGTTACAAATGTAATAGAAGTCTGAGGGATATGCTAGTTCGTAATGATCCTGTACATTGTTACCAAAAACTAAGCTGATAAAGAAAAAAGGTTGCTTCAAATGCACAGGATGTGTAACATGTAGCCATATGTTATCTAATACATCCTTTGCCCATCCACAAACAGGCAAGCGTATCCTTATTAAGCATTATTTCCCCTGTACTACAGATCATGTTATTTACATGATCACATGCCCATGTGGTCTATCATACGTGGGCAAAACAGATCTAACACTTTGTGACAGGATTGGAAGTTAGCGAATGTTGTGCCCATTTACAAGAAAGGTAATAGGAAGGAGTCTGGCAACTATAGGCCAGTAAGCCTTACTTCAGTA